GAAATAAATAACTCAAGCCTCCTCTCACTTTATTGTGAGCAACTTAGGCATCAGCTCTTCAGAAAGTCAGTTGAAAGTACGGATACAAATTAGGTTCATGATGGATTTTAACAAAAACTTTCACTTACTTCTTAAAGCAAGATATTTATTGGTGCCTCAATAAAGGCACGTTTGTAGATGAGCCGGTTTGATTTTACAAATGCTTTCTCGAAGTTAATCTTCATCGTTTCGAAGTTAACTCATCGTAATGCTACATAAAACTCTATTTTTACACTAGGATCTTCGCCGATCTCAGACGCCATCAGAAGAACTACTGTCATAGTGCCCTTATTGCCTATATGCATTACTCTCGGCAATAAAAAACCTTTCGAAAGCTAAGTTTGAATGAAAATGAACGGTATCGTATGTCCCTCTATTCATTTTACTGTTGGGAATAGAATTAACAATCCTTTTATCACCTGGAACAACGTAGGATCACTCGAATTCCTATTCGAAATCTACTCCTCCGTTTGATAAAAAGCTCTATCAGGTGTTGCTGTTATAGTTTCATTTCGTCAACTTTCCGAGGAAGATTTTTCCTTAGTTTCACGAGAGTGCTTCAAGCAGTACAAACTGGCCTTCTTCCCTCTCCTCCTTTCTTCACAAGCCTTACAAGACCCAGACCCCTGTGGCTCGTCCTGCCCACAAGATTGTTACAGCCTCTCCATATCCTACTGTATGTGAAATCCACATCAATAGCCACACAAAGTCACGTGTGTCCAATTTGTTAAAATCTCGTCTTCGCAACCTCGGATGTATCCTCAAGTCATAGAATCACCCTATTTACGCACACTGTTAACGTGGGTTAAATATGTACGTGCAAACGCTTTGCAAGGATGGACAACCCTTTCTTTTTCATCCCTTCATGTACAGCTTCTAGGATGCCCGGTTAGCACATACACGCAAGTACACACATGAGGACTTGAATGCGATCAGTAATGCATGCATAGGCAGAATTACATAATGTCCGAATTAAAAGAGTTGATTGTAATTATGCATAAATGCATACGACGAATGTATACGCGTGTGCATAAGACCCCACATGTGAATATAATGACGAAGAGGTGGGCTAGGCAGGTACATCCCTG